TTACGAGAACGAGGCCGCCCACGCGCTCGCCGAAGAAACGCCACTCGCCGAATACGATGATGATGTTGGTGACGTTCTTAAACACCGTGACGATGTGGATGGGGAGTCCCGCCGTGGCCTGCATGCCCGTGTACAGCATGGCCACGAAGAAAAAGGTCACAGGTGCCCACTTACGCGCAACGGCACTGTCGTACGGGTCGTACGAGATGAGCTTCTGCATCTTGGCCAGCTCGAGCACCAGCACGGCAACGCCGGCCTGCACCGCCACCACGAAGAACTTCTCGTCGAAGCCGTAGTACTTCTTACCCAGCAGATAACGGTTCGTCAGCACCATGACATTAGACATGACGCTGTACACGATACACGACACAATAGAGAGCACCAGCGAGCCCGCGGCGGGACCCTTTGCAGGCGGCATAGCTGGCTGGAAAGAGAGGCGGGGGTCTTGAGCACGGCGCGGCTGAAGAGACTCTGGAACGGGTATCCAGAGGGGGAAGGCGATATGGCTGGAGCCACGTAGGTGTCGCTATACCGAAGTAACTAACGACTGATCGTGTAACGGTACACAATTACACCAAATTCACATACATGTATCCATTTCTAAAGATCGAAACGACGCAATCGCTTTCCGCTGAAGTACGTGATGCAGCAGATGCTGTTCACGAGGCCCTCGGCCGCCTGGCAGAGTCCCAATGCGTGGACTAACGGCAGCAACAGCAGCTCGCCACGACGCGTCGTGACCTTCGCGGTACAGGATGCTTCGCCTTCACCCGTCGTGTACCGAAGTCGATTGCGGAGTCCGTATGATGCTGATCTGACCAAAGATCTTCCACAACAGCGTTTGCGTCGCCCACGTAATCCAACAACGACGCAGCGCAATGCTCGAAAAGCGAGACCAACTACCACGAGACCGCGACTGCGACGGCCTGGCTGGGATACGGACGTGAACCGCGGATCGAACCTGTTCGACGCATCGCTGAAGAAGTCGTTGCTGTTCCAGCCGCGAGCGGGTGATCGACGGAAAGAAGAGGAGGCAGAGAAGCAGGAAATGACACCAAAGAATGTGGTAAGACGGAAGGTGGGTCCCGTCCGAACGACCCCCGTACGGTACAGATCCGAGCCGTCCAGTGTGTACGCGCAGCAACGACAGAACGTGACGCATTGGCCGCAACGTAGAACCAAGGATTTTGTACGGCAAAACATTGAGCAGTTGACAGGACGGCCTGTAGATATGAACTTTGGACGAAGCGGATCACGATCAGGAAGTCGAGAGAATGTGTTTGAGCGACTATCAGCACCGCGAGTGAGTAAGTCGTTACTGCGGTCGCATGCACTGGTAGTTCCAGTAGAAAGCAAACAAGCCCCAAGTCCCGCTCGATCTCCAAGCGTGGCGTCACTATCTCCTCAGTCAGCTTCGCCTTCTTCACCTGTGCTCACTATTGAACCTCCAGCACCAGATAAACGGAGTTCGCCTCGCTCGACAACGCCCTCACCGGGAATGCGAAGATCGGGTCTAGGATGGTCATCTTTGCACTTATCGCCACAGAGGTCCCAGCAGTCATTTTCATCACGTAACTCGCCAGCGCCTTTTTCCAACTCCACCAATCGCGGTGCTCGCTCTCGCTCTCCGAGGTATGACAACTACCCGGCACGAGTGTTTGGAGTTCTTGATCGAGACAATGAAAGGCGTATCGGCGTTAGTCAAATCCTACAGGGGCTTAGGCTACTCGGCCTACCAGCGACGCACAACCAGGTGAGCAGAACAGAAGTGTTATCAATCCACAGGTCCAAACTTGTGCTTACTGTTCTGCTTTGCTTTAGATCTCCGACTACGTCTATCTCATTCATGAGGGTCGGCACAACTCAATCGATCTCGAAGAATGGGAAATACTAGTAGGAACGCTC